TAGAATAAATACTTGCTACTCCATCGTGTGATTTCCACCATTCTGAAAGCGGAGTTCAAAATAAAAACAAAATCCGACTTAATTAAGGAGCCCGGTGCAGGGAGGCCCAGTGCCACGGTCTGTGTTAAGTGCCTGCCACCGTGGCCCGCAAGGAGTCCTTTAATAAAGGGTTCCTGAGGAGGGAATTTGGCAACATGTGATTTTCTACAAATATAAGCTTGATTTTGATGCAACCACTCATTTATTTGAAAATCAGGGGACATTCACACACAGGTGTCCTGAATTCCTTACAGCAAAAACGAACCCTTTACCAGGCCTAGCTGTGCTCATGCTGAAGCTGTAAAGAAACAAGGGCCCTTGTGACAAGGAGCCACTCCCAAGGGAACACAACCAGGGTGCCGACTGAGGACACACAGGGACCCAAGACCAGGGGCCCGAGGAGGTCGCCCACTGCAGCAGCCCCATCGGGCCTGGGCTGGCACAGAGAAGTGGGGTCCGGGGACCCAGCCGAGCTCCCAAACGCATGACAATCACCCCACTTCTGTACCCAGCACCTTGCAGGTGAACTAGACCTTCAAGCCACAAAGCCGTTTCTCCAGGCCCCTAGGGCCACCTTCCCTTGCACGGTCAGGATTCTAAGGGAAGAGACCCGGCCCGCCCCCACCCTGCCCACTTCTGAGAGCCCCCCTCCCCCTCCCCAGTCTCTGCCCAACACCACCTTCCCTCTGAACGTCACAGCGTCTGCCGACAGAATTCAGCAGGGATGTGAACTTGAATGGGAGAAAAATTACAGCGTTATCTTCACTGTCCTCGAAGTGAATGTGAACCACACCAAAGCGAACACAGCCAGGCCTCCGCTATGTCTCCAAGACCTGGGATGCAGCAGAAGTCACGCCGACACCCCTCCCCTGCACAGCGGATGCAGATAACTCGAAAGAGCGTTTACCCTCTGACTAGGCCAAATTACAGTAATTGTTAGGCCTCCTGTTTGGTCTTATCACTTAATACATTGTCAGAGAAGCGTATTATTATATCATAAATTTGTTTTCTACTATTTTGATGACTGTTATTTCAACATAATTGATTTCCTTTGTTACCCTGTTTTTTATTCATGCACTTTACGGTGTTATCTTGGGAGCGTTTCGCCAGACGGCCGAAGGACGCCGCAAAGGTTAAGTCTCGCATCTGCGAGAGTGAGGGCACCACCTCGGATTCAAACCCAGACTCGTCCGGTTCTTTCCTCCGAGCAAAACTCCCTGAAACGCATTGCGTGAGAGAGCCAGGGCAGACACAACACCGCCTAACGAAAGCACTCATGCACCAAAAACTGCATGCACCGTGTGCCGAGATCTGGGGGGACAGCCCCGTGGGACAGAGCTGGTATTAAACGAGGGCCTGCCCAGCAGAGGCCTGGGGGCTGGGTCAGCTCAGGCCACAGGCGGCCACTGGGAAGCGCCATCTCCCACTGGCACAGGGCCCCACCCCAAGGGCCTTAATCTCACTCTGCCTCCACGCCCCGTCCAGTCTCCCAAAGATGCCGACCGCGGTGTCCAGCTGCAAGCCTGTCCCGACGGGGCGATGAGCTAGGGCTGCTTCAGCGTAAAGACGAGAATTGGCAGAGGTCGTTCCCTCGTGCCAGGCCTCTCCTGCTGCACTGAACATGTTGGGGCCTGGGACGGCCTCACGCAGCCCTGGGTCCCCAAGGCGCTCAGGGGTTCACACAGTTGACGGCTGCCTGGCCAGTCTAGTCCTGCGGACAAGAATCCCCTCTCCCTTGCCCTGGCCTAAAGGTGCCCCAGACGGAGCAGGGCAGGCTCTGGGACAGCAGCGTTCACTCATCTCGACGTCCCGCCCTCAGCCACTCTTTGAAAACCCGTCTCCAGAAGACGGCCCCAATGGCCTCACTTCTCTCCTCCGCCTCCTCCTTCTCTTCGGCCTTTGATCACCTCGGTCCTGCTCTGAGCTCTCTCGAGACCACCATCACATCAAAGTTCCCTTCAGTCTCTTTTGGAAGCCCCTGGCCTCCCCGCCAGGAACCTTCTCTTATTCACGCCAGAGGCCTCCCAAACTCCACAGAGTTCTCTCCCAGGGAGAAGCTCGCTTCTCCCGTCCAGAGATCTCCCGGCCGCCTGTGCTTCTCACGGCCAACACCTCTGAGGCCACTCGGTCTTGCTCGCAGCACAGCACTGGCCTGGGGGGCATCCCCGTGTGGGGGGCCTCAAGCCCGAAACGCGTTTTTGTCTAACGCTTTTATTCATTTCCAGACGATGCACTTCCTGCTCCCACTGACACACTGTTCCGTCTCCCCACAGAGTTGTCACTTTTCCACGTCCCTGTCAGTCACTCCAGCTGCTCCCAGGCACAGCCACAACCAGCCCCCACTAGTCACCCCCTCTTTCCCACACTCATACCACACCCCACCTGCCCTTCACTCGCCCCCGAGTTCTGCCCCGGCTCCACCCATTCGTGGCAGGGGAGCGTGGGCTGCCCTCCAGCTCTGGACTGGAAGCGTGGGGTGCTCAGGGCCACAGCAGGAAGGGCCAGCCCAGCGGTCAAGAGGGCAGGGACGGCGCCCCGCGGCTGCTGCCGGACCAAGGCCCGGGCAGCAACATGTCCAGACCGGCAGGGAAGGAGGCACCGGACCTGAGCCCCAGGCACCGCAGGCCGGGAGCGGTCCAGGGAGTCGCGAGCGCCCCAAGGTCTCCCAGCACCCCTCACAGCTCTCGAACTCAACTCGCATTCTGGAGCTGACAGCAGCTGTATCTGTCTCCAGCAGAGCACTCAGCCTCATTGTGCTATTTCGCGAACGAGATTTTAGTCCAGGTGTGTGGCCCACATGGGCAAACCTCTGCTGTTGCGCACGCTGCATGCTCACTTGCATTACGCGGCAGGAAGGCTCACATGCGTCAGCGGGCGCGGGCTGCAAGCGGGGGCCCAGACCCAGCGTGGCCCGCGTCCGCTCCCCAAACACCTGCTTTTCCACGGTTAAGACGGCAGTGACCAGGTCCCCTCCCCGCCATGCTGGGCCATCCTGTGGCAGTAGAAGATGGGAATACACTGCGGGGCTCAAAAACCTGGCAGAAATCCACGAGCAAGCGGTGCAGCTCCCAGCCTCCCCTCGCCCGCTTCTGGTCTCCGGGCACCATGCCGCTTTAATGCCACCTCGCCACGCTGTTTCCTCCCAGGCCTGACTTGTACCTGAGGCTGGGGATGGAGGAGGCAGCAGGCGGGCGGCCAGCAGGTGGGGGACCACAGGCGGGGGGCCAGCAGGCGGGGGGGCCAGCAGGTGGGGGACCACAGGCGGGGGGCCAGCAGGCGGGGGGGCCAGCAGGCAGCCTCACATTTCTTGAGCAGCCACAAGAAACAAAAGGCACAATGTCACATTTCCTCACCTCCTGTCCCTCTGTCCGTCCGTCCTGGCTCCTCCGCCGGCCCCACCCTTGCACTCAGCCTGCTTTCACCACCGCCCGCCCTTGTCCGCGTCCTCTAGAATCCCTATGAATCACTAATGACTGACTTAAACCAGACTCTGGGTGCGTGATACAGTGTAACCAATATCAATATTTAGGGCTGGCAATGGCGAGAAAGCAGAGAGTGGGGAGCGCGGCCTCCCGGACTCTGCCCGCAGACACCGCCTCCTAACCCAGGCCTGGGAGGAAGACTGCCGAAACTTGCCGAAACTGCGTGGGGTGCAGTGTGGGTCAAGCGCGGGGAGGGGCGGGTGGCATTGATGAAGTCACACCAATTCTCCAGCTCTCTCTGCCACGAGGAAGCTAAAAGCCAGGTGCGGACCCCGGCCCCAGAGAGCCTGGCTTACATCAGGCTGGGGCTGCTGGCTGGACACCAGACTGTTCACAGCTCCCCTGGAGATTCCAGCAAGCAGCCAAGTTTGGGGACCCCGGCTGAACACGTTTATTGCACGTCCCAGACATTTCCCCCAAGCGGACGACCCTGCAGCCTTCAGCGGTCACGACAGCCCTTGGAGGCATCATCGCACTTAACTGAGATTTGAACTCCAGTTCCGTAGCACCCACACCTGCTCGCTACACAGCTTCTGGTGACCTCTCGCAAGGGTGCAGGCACCGCCAACTGGCCTCAAATAAGCCCCACAAGTGCAAGACACCTCGATTTAGGGGTGCAAATCCACAGCAGACCCTCACAAGTCTGAGCGGGGAGACACAGGGTCAGCGGGCAAGAGGCTGGGTGCTCACAGATGAGGTACAAGACAATGGGGAGACAAGGGTCCTGGCCAGGGGGCTCCTCTAAACCTGAGCTATGTTCGGAGACACCACTTTTAAGGCAGTGCTTCATGGCAGGAAAGGTGTCGAGTTCGGGGATGGCCCCGAACTGGGCAAAGGGGCCTTTTCACTGGGGCAGGGGTCCTTGGAGAGCTGTCAAGGGCTCTCCGCTTGGGGCCTCCCGCTCTAAACATCCCCCCCCCTCCTGTGGGGCCCAACACGCCAGCCTAACACCCTCTACCAGCTTTAACTCCTCCAGGCTCTCATCCTTCCAGAACGATGGCCTGGTCTTCTGGTGCGGGGACAGATGCCTGTGGCCTCACCATTCTCAGTCTGCAGACCAGTTCAGTAGGGTAACGCACCCTGCAACTCTCTACTCCACTTCCCTTCAAGAGAAAGCCCCTGATCGCCACCACGCCAACTTTCCAAGAGACTGGGAAGAACACAGTCACCGCGCTGGCCCAACAAAGAAGTGAGCTGCTGAAGTGGCACCCACATTGTGTTCTCTGGCCTACAAGCCACATTGAGTTCCCAAACCGCAGTCCTGCAGAAGGGGTGGGGGGGGGGCCTCCCTGCGGGGCCCGGGGCAGACACTTTGGGGACGGGGCTATTCCCAAGCTCCAATCTGGCCTGTGTCACACCAGCTGCCTCCTGCTGTCCCCCCAAAGCTGAGTGTGGATGAAAAAGAACCACAAGGAATCACAGGAACCCACAGCGGGTTAAACTTTCACAGAGATTGCACCGATCAGCCGGGCCACTTACCCAGCGCAGCCAGACAGCTCAGCACCGGGAGAAAGCACTTCATGTCGGCAGCGACAGGAGACACAACAGCGGCTTCCTCTTCTCCCAGCGCTTAATCTCTCATTTCTGGAAATCCACTTACAGCCCCGGAGCACAGTTTGAAAATAGACTTTAACTCAGAAAATGAGAATAGGTTAACGGGAGGTTACCAGGGGGTGGGGGAGGGGTGGCCAGAGTGGGGGGGCTCATGTGTTCAACTCCCCTATGCTAAAGGAAGGGTCCAGATCAATTCCGAAGGAGCTCTGGGCTTCGGCCACATCGTGTGTCTGGCGGTTTCCACTGGAATTGTAGAGCGCGGTGGATAATCCTCCAGGAAAAGGGAAAAAGCAGTCTGAGAAAATCCTTTCATCCACTGATTATACAGAAATGTCCTTGGCTTCGCCGTGAAGGTGTCTGTAATCTCCCTCATTCAGATTCCCGGAAGGAAACGGGGCCGGTTTTGTCACCACCTTCCACAGCCCAGCGGCCCCGACCGGCGTCCGCGGCTTGGGTTTCTCCACCAAAAAGTCCTTCTCCATCCATGATGGCAGGTCACGGAGCAGCCACCTGGCCCAGTCCCGCCCAGAGCACACGAGGCAAGTTGGCGTCCGCAGCCCCGAACTGGTCCCCCGATGCCAGCGGACCCCTGAAACAAACACGACCCGGTGGATCAGGGGCGCACGCGGGCGCCACCCCGGGCCGGCCGGGGGCCTGGGCGCGCCGACACCTGGGTCCCGGGCCTGGCCCCGGGCGCCCACCTCCGGCATCCTGACCTTGGGCGATGGCTACTTCGGCCTCCGCCTCAGTTTCCCGGCCCGGAGTAGGGCGGCAGGGGGGAGCCCGGCCGTCCCGAGGATACTTTCCCCCAGTGCTTCACTCCTGGGAATTCCCTCCGCCCCCCCACCCCCGAGCCCGGCGCGCGGGCAGCCCCACCCGAAGGGGCGACGAGGTGGGGCGCCGCCCCGGTTCCACCCGGGCCCCCGCCCCAGGCGTGGGAGCCGCGCGCACGCCGCGTCCCAGGTGGCCCCGCTATTGTTTTACCTTCCCGGGGG